AGCCAGGATCTCCAGTGCACGACAGCTCCGCCCCGCGGCCCCAGCTCTGCACAGACACCACGGCCCCTGCCTCCTCCCAGGGCTTCTGCACAGCCCAGTAGTGTCCTGCTTCTCTTCCCCTTTCCAATGCTATCATTTTTGTTTCCTTTGCTTTCCTCTTTTCCTCCTGCTCTAGTTACAGGTTTCCCTGAAGCTCAGACTTGGTTCATTTCTTTATTCTTTCTCAGTGAAGTGAGAAGGTTTGAATGCTTCAACTAGCAACTGTGCTGAGAACCCTCCAGCTATCATCTCCCACCCTGGCCCTTGAGACATCTCTTCCTAGATATTCCACTCTTACTTCACATACGTAACACTCAGTGTATCTTCACCATTCTATCCCAACTCTCCCAGATCCGTAATGTGAAAATGTCTATTATTTGGTTCTGAAGCTTTTTTTGCATTATCCTACATATCAAATCTGCCACAGTTCTTGTTGCTTTTTTAAACATTTTAATTAAGTTACCCGTCCAGTGTGTTGACCCCAGGCCTAGTAACCATGTCTTGCCCATGACTCTGCACCGGCTTCTTCACACGTGTTTTCAGTCTCGTCATTTTCTATCCCAACTATGCTGGGATCAATTAAAAGTCCTAAAGATCTTAACTATTCCCAGAACTACTACCGATTCCTACTATTTGATCTCACCCTGCTTATAAAACTAGCTTTGACTATTCAACAACTTGGAGCCTTCACTGGGTGTGGCCAGTATTGTCTTCAGCCTTCCAACATGCCATGCTTATTAGTGATTCAAGCTTTGTGGCCATGCTCTTTTTCTCCAATTAAATAATGTCTGCTTTATCATTTACTTAACCAAAATTATAATTTTTTAAAGTAAATTTCAAATGACACTTTACAAGGTCTTTGCAACCTTCTTGCTTATATAAACCTCTAATATCCCTAAACTCTTACAGCATTTCATGTGCTTCTTGTTTGTACTGCTAATTTTGGCTTATAATCACGTATATTGCTATGCAGCTACTTTATACTGTTCATTTTTCTCCCAGCCTTCCCCAAAGGAACTATGGCCTTTTAGCAGGGTAACTACTGTACATTGAGAAAAAGAAATATAATCAGATTTTTCGAGAATTACTAGACATTGGCTCTGAACTGACAGTAATTCCAGGAGATCCAAAATATCACTGTGGCCCATGAGTCAGGTCAAGTGATCAATGGAGTTTTAACACAAGTTCATCTTACAGTGGGTCTCCAAACCTATCCTATGGTCATTTCCCCAGTTCCGGAATGTATAATTGGAAGAGACATAATCAGCAGATGGCAGAATCACATCACATATGGGCTTATTAAGTAGCCTGTTGTTTCACCGACAAGACATATAAATTCTGTAAGAAGATTTTGATCATGTTTCATAACATTATTTCTAAATAAAGCAAAGACTTTTGGATAGCTGCATTTTTTTCCAATTACTGACACCTCCTGGTACTCACTTTACAAACTAGATTAAAGCTAAAGGCTAGATATTATCACCTGAGCTAGAGATTTTCTACTGGAATTCAGAAGGGGTTCATAAATCATCTTTGGCACTTTTGGTTCTTTGATGATGTTACTTATACTATTTCCTTCCAAGGGTTCAAATACTTTTGAGTTATGTTCTCTTATGAATAACCTGACAGTTATTCAGTTATATTCTCTGATTATTAGTTTTTTAATAAGATAATTGGGGCAAATGGTATCTCTTTAAATCAGACATCTCACCAAATGTCGACATGTCGAGGATTTTCTTTTTGACAGTGAGGACAGAAATACGTCATTCTGTTATTCTCCCCGAAGCGACACGCAGTTATTTTGCAGTGGCAACGACCACAATTAGGACGCTTGTAAACCTTGTAGTGTTTAGACACAGCAGATCCTGCTTTACGGCACTACAAAAAATAAATAAATGAATAAAATAGATTAAAATGTTATCTACAAAACAGCGTTGCTGAAGAGCCAAAGACAAATTCTTCAAAGTCATTTCTGAAAGTAATCTGTTAAAAATTTACATATGTTTGAACATATGCCCATATAATCTCTTCTTTCATCTTAGAAAAAGGTATTGACAAGATTTAGTAATATTTGTCAGATAA